CAGATCACATTTAAAGGAAAACCCATCATAATAACAGCAGACTTCTTTTCACAAACCATGAAGGCAAGAAGAGCATGGAGCAGAGTACTTCAAGTCCTCCATGAAAACAAATTCCAGCCCAGACTACTATACCCTGAAAAACTCTCTTTCAAGTTTGATGGAGAAGTGAAATACTTCCATGACAAAGAACAACTAAAAAATTTCATGATGACAAAACCAACCCTACACAGGCTACTGAAAGATGTTTTAGAGAGGGACCCAAATGATCATAACTCCAAGAATGAGGACAGAAAGAGCCCACTAAATAGGGCAAACAATTGAACACAGGAGAAAAAGGATTAAACAACAGCAGGTAAATAACATGTCAAACATAAGGCAATACATATCAATTATAACCATCAATGTAAATGGACTCAATTCACCAATTAAAAGAAATAGAATGGTACAGTGGAATAGGAAACAAATTCCAACAATATTCTGTATACAAGAAACACACTTAACTCACAAAGAAATTCATAGTCTGAAAGTCAAAGCATGGAAAAAAATACTTCATGCCTCAGCACCTCAGAAAAAAGCAGGGGAAGCAATCCTGTTCTCAGGCAGTTTCAACTTCAAACTAAGCATGACCAAATGAAATAAAGAAAACCACTATATACTGGTTAGGGGAAAAGTTCAAGAGGAAGAGGTAAAAGTCATAAATATGTACGCACGAAACACAGGAGCACACAACTATATAAGACAAATCTTAATGGACATGAAAAATCTAATATCCAATACCACAGTCTTAACAGGAGACCTTAACAGCTCCTCTCCTGATCCATAAAAGATAGATAAATCGTTCCTAAAACTTAATTTGGAAGCAGAAAAGTCCTAGAATAGTAAAGGAAATCTCTGGCAACAAAGCCAAGGAAGGAGGCATTACAATTCATGACTTGAAATTATACTACAAAGCTACTGTGATAAAATCAGCATGGCATTGGCAAAAAATAGATGTGAAGATCAATGGAATAGATTAGAAAATACAGAAGCCTCTATGAACACACTCAGCCACCTTATCTTCAATGAAGAGGCCAAACATGCTCTTGGGAAGAAAGATACCCATTTTATCATACAGTAATGGAAAAACTGGCTCTCTAAAACTTTATCCAGTTCTATCACTATACACTAAACTAAAGTCATAATGGATTAAAGGTCTATACATTAGAACAGAAACACTAACTCTTCCTGAATAAAAAGTAGGGGGAACTCTTAAAGACATATGGGTAGGCAAAGAATTCATGAACAAAAGACAATTTGCACTGGTAATACTTGAAAAAACAACTGACACCTCCTCATTAAGAAGTTTTTTCATGTCAAAAGAAATTACCAACAAAGTGAAAAGACAACCCACAAATTTGGAAAAAATCTTAACTAATAAGCACTCGACAAATTTCTGCTCTCTAGAATTTATAAAGAACTAAAAAACATTAGGGCCCCAAAATTTAAAGACTCAATCCACAAATGGGCATCAGAGATGAACACACACTTCTCAGAGGACAAAATTAAAGAAGCAAATATTTGCTTCTTTAATTCCACATCATTAGCCATCCATGAAATGCAAATTAAAACAACACTGAGATATCATCTCACCCCAGAAAGAATGGCTATCATAAATCAATCAACCAACAAA